ACAATGGTTGCTACCTCAGGTGGGTGTCGGGAGGGTTAGATGTGGGTGGCGCACCTGGGAACGTGGGACACAAAGGGATCCATGCCAAATAGCCTGTCTGCTCATGGTTGAGGCAGGCAGCCGGCCAGAGACAGACAGCTACATGCCTGTGGTCAGCCAGGAAGCCGGCCGAAGGTGGGGACCCAACTAGTAGCTGTGTAGTAACGGCATCCCGGCTCACACCCATTGGTGGCTCTGTGGATGGCTGGCTTAGAGGCTGGGTCAGAAGTGGCTCAGAGGCATGGAGACCAGGGGACCAGACTCAGGGTGAATTCCAGTGGGCATTCTCCAAGGGTGAGGTCACCACCAGGAGGGGGGTGGTGGCGGGGGTCAGAGCCAGGACACAGAGCCGAAGGTAAGGCCCGCTGCCTGGCACAGTAACAGGCCCCTCCCATGGTGAGGTGCTGGGGTCCTTATTTCTATCTCGGGAAGCCTGGTGTTTCCTGTTTAACATGTAGCTTAGAGTTGGGGGAAGCTGGGGGAGGGGAAAAAGCAAAGCAAAGGGCACTTCTTGAGCACCCGCAAGGGGGTCCAGCATGTTTATTCCTCATTCCGTGGTGATTATTTTTAGCCCCGGTTTGAAGATGGTGCAATCGAGGCTCAGAATGGTGGAAAATTTTCCCCCAAAGTGAAAGCGGTATAGCTAATGGGTGAGAACCCAGAGACTTGGGAATCAAGCATATCTGAGTTCTGATCTGAGCTCCAATACCTGTTCATGCAGTTACTAAAGCTTCCTGGGCCTCAGTTTCCTCGTCTGTGAAATGGCAATAATGATAGTCCCTACCTCACTGTGAGGACTCAGAAGACAAATGTGACATTTAGCCTTCAGGGAAGGCTAGCCACCATTGTCCCCATTTTGCTGCTGTGACAACTGAGCCTGAGGCTGATGAGGCCATGTGTGCAAGGCCGCTCCACTAGTGGATGGTGAATTCAGGACCTGAACCCAGATCTGATTCTTTCTTCCTGACTTACATCATCGTGTGGTGGCTGGTGGTGGCACCCAGCTTCCAAAAAGCTGGGGAGGGAAGGCTCCCAGATTTCTGGCAGAGCCATGTAAGCCATGCTGGGGACCGGGGTTCAGGGTCACGCCTGCACCCGGTGTTCCAGGCAGCGGAGAGGAACTGCGACAGCGTGTCTGGAAGCCCGGCTCGTTCACAGCATCCTGCCCTCTGCTGACATTGTTCTCTGGACCCTTCCAGCCCATGGCTTGCACATTAAGGTTTCCGGTAGCCTGGCCAAATTACCTTCACTTACCGGAGAAGCCCTCCCCAGGCGGCTGGGGTAGTGGCTGAGCTACCCTGGGACCTTCACCCAAGGCCAGGCGTGCTGGGCTGGGCACAGGCACAGCCCCAACAACATCCCCTTGACCAGCAGGTCATGACCCCGCAGACTGCCCTTCTCAGAGACACTGCTGGCCTACTTGCTCCCCGCTCCTGGAGCCCAGTGAAGAAAAGGCCATGATTCATTTCCATTTTAGGGTTGGCTAAAGTCAAGGCACTCGGCTTTAGGTCCCAACCATCACAATCACTCTGTGACCGGGGCAAGCCTTCCCCGTCTCTGCACCCTTCTGAGGATCTGGACGAATACTCCAGGACTCCTCACACCGACATTCGTTCAGGGTGACCCACCACCCCTTGCTCTTTTCTTAAAGCTAAGTGCTTCCCAGGTGGACCAGTGGTAAAGCATCCACCTGCCTGGAGAAGGAAATGGCAACTCACTCCGGTATTCTTGCCTGGGAAATCCTATAGATAGAGGAGCCTGGTGGGCTACAGTCCACGGGTTGCAAAGAGTTGGATACGACTTAGTGACTATAAACAACAACAAACTGGGACTTCCCTGGTAGTCCAGTGGCTAAAACTCTGCGTGCCCAGTGAAGGAGGCCTTGGGTTTGACCCCTGGTCAGGGAACTAGATCCCACATGCCACAAGTAAAGATCCCATGTGCCACAACTAAAGTCAAATAAATAAATAAATACTGAAAAACAAACAAACTTAAAGCACAGGCTTCTTGAAGCTGTGGTCACTTTCCCTCCCATGTTTAGAAGGCATCCACAAGAATGACCACCATTCATCCAATTAAGTGCTTCTAAGACCTGCTAAGGCTCTTTGGCACTTAGCAATCCTATTGGGAATAGGGTCCTGGCCTTTCCACTGGTGTCACTTGGCACTCCGTCTCCTCATCTGTGTAATGGGAAGAACTGCCCGGCAGGGGGGTGGTGGGGTCACAGCAGAGAACACAAACTCTACAAACTCAAGCTTCCATCTCCGCCTCCAGATCAACTGGGTGAACTTGTTATTAGGAGTAGAGGTACAGAAGCCACATCCCGGGACGTCTCAGGGCTGAGAGCGTTTTGTAGGTGTCTGTGCTTCAGAGGGGTCGGGGGTGTCCCCATGGCTGCCAGGCCCCGAAGCTGCATGCTCATAACCCCTGTTTCACGGGCCCAGGAGCCCGAGGCACCCAGAGGGCAGCAACAGTGGGGCCGGGGATGCAGAGCCAGCAGCGTCCTGGTGAGATCAGCGCCATGGAATTAGTCAAACGGGATCACCCTGAGGATCTTGTGTGCACAGCTAGTGACTCACGCCACGAACAGCCTCACGGGCAGAGATGCCAAGCTGGGAGGCAGCCTCTCCAGCTCACCTCGCCCCGCAGCACACCTTTTAAGGACAGGGAGCTCCGGGCAGCGCAGGGGCCCTGCCTCCGCCCTGAGGCTTTCACCAGCCCAGCTCCACACTTAACTCTTGTTGGGCAGAGGGGCCAGCCCCTGACCTGGGTTCAAATCTGACCTTATCACTTTTTAGATATGACCTTGGGCAAGTCAATTCCCCCAAACCAGTTCCTTCACTTGTAATATGGAAACACTTGCCTCACCAGAGAGGAATTAAATGAGGTCATGCAGAGAAAGTGCTTGGCGAAGGGCACCTTTTAAGGAATGGCTGTGGTGGCCAATGGCAAGGGAAGGGCCCAGGCTCAGGCACCACAGTGCTCAGCTCTGAACTCAAGCCCCAGCCCTTACTTGCTGGGCATTTTTGAGTTACTCAACTCTGCATCAGTGCCTCTTCTGTAAAGATTGCTGACGCTACCAGCTTTGGCAGGCTCTTGTGGGGTTAGGATCATGTACTCCATTTTCTAAGGTGAGGGGGGCAGTGCAGGAGCAGAGCCAGCCCAGATGTCTGGGGGCTATGTGTCCTGGCCAAGGTCCCCAAGCTCTCTCCATGGGTCTGGTGTGTTAAGGGGAGCAGTGATGAGAATGCCCGACTCGTGGGGCTGCTGTGGGGAGGTACTGAGAACAGTGCCTGGCACCCAGGAAGCATCTCTTCAGCACTGCCTGTTCTCATTCATCTTACACACAGCTCTTGGCCTTTCTCCACAAATGCCAGTTGCTGGTTTACTTCCCTTTTACATGCCTGTGACAGATTCCAGGCCGGCGGCCTTCCCAAGGCCGCAGGCCTTGCTTCTGAGCTAACCCTGCCCTCTGGCGCCTGTCACAGACTTCCCAAGGCAGTCCTGGGGCTGAGCCGTCAAAGACCCCGCAGTAACTGAGGTAGTTCCAGCAGGGATACTGAGAACACCAAGAGTGCACACAGCACCCTCGGGCCAAGGCGAAGGACACCCTGCTGCCTGGAACCCACAGGGTGGGTCTCTCAGCTGGCAAGTGAGCCAAAGGGTGCCTCGGCCACAGGGGAAAAGGCGATAGGCTTTGCTGGCTGGAAACCTGGTTTGCCTGGCACCCTCCTCCATGGGCCAAGGGGAGCCTGGGAACAAGAATGGGCGGAGAGCCTGGTCTCAAAGCCTCTCGAGTTCCTGCCCACACACAGGAAGGACAGCCCACCTCCTGATGGGCTGGGATGGGCATGGGGCCAGCCAGGCTTCCCGAGGAGTGTGCACACAGGAGTGAGCACCCGCTTAGCAGAGGTGGCCCCTGGGGATCAGTGACAAGAGCCCAGGCTTCAGAGGCAACCAGCTCTGGGCAGAAGCGTGGGCTCTGCACCCCGAGAGCCTCCGTGCATAATGGGGGCCACAAATTCCCTTCTGCCTGACGTCTGTGTAAAGCCGTCCCTGCAAGAGTGGCCACCACTGACAACAGAAGTAGTCACAGGAATGGCTGGCCAAGGACAAGAGGCTGGTGGGGGTCAGAGGGGGAACACGGCAGCAGCCTAGGAAGGGGTCACAAGTGCCCCCAGAGCCCAGACAGAGCGGAAGCTGGCGACAGTGCAAACCCTAGCTTTATTGGTCCAGTTTTTTTCACAGTGAAGCCTCAGAGAACCAAAGGGCCAGCTAATGGTGAGGGAGGGTAGTGTCTTGAGCCTTCCAGAATCAAGGGTCTGCAGGATGCTCATAGCCCAACACATGTCCGCTGCTCTGGCGCCTGTGAGGAAAGAGGGAGGGGTGTCTCTGGGAGGATGGGTGTGGGCCCAGGGTCTGTTCTTCACCGCGAGAGGTGAAAGGGATCACATAAAGTTCTTTATTACAGACCTACAAAAAATGAGAGTTACATGTATTACTCTCACTTGTCTGGGTTTTTTTCCTTCTTTGTCTTTTCACAAAACAGCGGCAGGAAAGAAAAATGCAGGAGGCAGGTGAGCCAGGCCTCGGGACTCAGATCAGAAGGGAGCAGGGAGGCAGGATGAAGCTGCTACTGCAGGTTGGCCCCGGGCTCTGGCCCAGCATCCAGGGAGCAGGGCCTCAAGCCCCAGAGGGAGCAGATGGAGCAGCTGGGAAGACAGCTGCCCCAGTTCTGCAGCAGCCCCGTTCCTCGGGTGGCCACCCTGGAGGGCAGCAGGTCAGGAGCACTTGAGGCTCCTATGTTTGGAGGCCTGGTCTCCAAAGCACAGGCCCACAGGGGCCAGACAAAGGGAGGAGGCGGGAGGGACCAGCACAGAGGGGCGGTAAGTTCTGTTGGGGTCCCCCCCGGGACCTTGGGGCCCCAGCAGGCAGGGGCAGTCAGGATGTGTCCCTGCTTGTCAGCCAATCAGCTTCTTCAGGAAGGCCTCCAGCTGGTCTTCATCCTTGATCCCCACAAACTTGTCCACCACGTCCCCATTCTTCATGGCCAGTACGGTGGGTACAGCTGACACCTGGGTGGAGGACAGAGGCCACGTCACTCAGAAGTGAGCTCTTCTCCACATCAGCCCCGAGCTCTGGGGAGCGGGCTGCTGGCTCAGGCCTTGAAGTGACTGCCCAGAGCCACAGGCAGGCCCCTCCCTTTGCGCAGGGGGGCTTCAGGGCCTGCGGGCCCACCCGCTGGAGCAGCTTTTGCATTGTGGGCTCCCAGCTGCACCCTTCCTCCACCAACCGCATGACTGACTCACTGTCCCAGTGGTTTGGCTAGAATGACAGGAGAGATTAAAATAACCCATGCAGCTGCAGGCCCAGGCTGGGGGCGGGGAAGAGCTGAGGGGCAGCCTGGCACAGGGGAGACCAGGAGAATCCTGTCACTCTTTAGCTGGGGACCTTAGCCAGGTCACACCACCTTTGGAACCTTGGTGCCCTCTTCCGTGAAATGAGGATGAATCTCATTGGTGAAGCTTTAGGACCTAGATTAGAGGTTTGTATATAAGGATGAGTGGCCAGGAGCTCAGGTTCTGGGGCCGGTTGATCGAATCTTGACCCATTTGGGGCAAGCCACTCCATTCTCTAAGTCTTGTGTTTTCACCAGGAAATGGAGATACTACTGGGACTTCCATTAGCGGGTACGAGGGCTGAATGGGGTAATCTAGGCAAAGTCTCAGCACTGTGCCCTGCCCTGAGCACCCAGGGAGCATCCCACAAATGAAGGCTACAGTGGGCACGTCACACAAGTCGAACCTAGGGCCCCAAGCAAGGTCCTCTGGCCCCCTGTAATGATGGTTAACGGGGTCCAGAAATTCACTGACTCACACTGGGAGTATGGGAGGTGGGGCTCAACCTTGAGAGCTGATGTTTATTTATTAGGGTGCTGGACATTCCTGGCCTGTGAAGCATTTTCTGAAGCTCCCCCAGGGGACCTGTATAGATTACATGGTACATAAATGAGGCCGAAGACCTGCTCTGGAATGGCACATTTTCTGCTGCTTGGGCGCCCCGCCTGGTATCTGTGGGCATTTGATGAAAAAAACCATATAAACAGAACAAGATAAACACAGACTTTTCTTACATACAGGTTAACTACAAAGTAACAACAGTGATTTCTAAGACATACCAGGTTCCCACATATTCCAAGTGCGGTCCTGCTGGTGAGTCACTTGGGAGGCCAGACTTAAGACTCAGAGTGTTCTATTGTGCACATGGCAGCTACAAACAGAAGTGCAGGCCTGCCGGGTCGTATCTCGGTGCCCCCACGCACTTACTGACTCTGTGCTGTAGGCTGTGCATTCCCCTAAGAGGCTTTGTATGACCGAGCCTTCAGGCCCCTCCAAGGACTGTCCTGGGGCTGCTGTGGGTGCCAACTGACACACTTCCCAGAGGCAATGTGCAGACAGACCCACTGGCGGTGGTGGGCTGACTTGTGTCCCTGTCATGGTCCCACCACTGGCTCCTGTCCTTGTCACTCCTGCCCCTGGCGTGGCTGACGGCAGGAAGCACAAGAGTCCAGCACGTGGCTGCCGGTTTCTGGGTCCAGAAGGCGCCCCAGGGCCCGCACGTGCTGTCTCTCGCGCCCTCTAGTGGTCTGTGGAGGCAGTGGCCTCACACCTGGCCACTCTCCATGGAGCCCTAGAGGCTCAGGCACTAACTTCTCCGCTGTGTACCTGCTGGGCCTCACGCCGGTCCTGTGCTTCTTTAACTGAGATGAAACTGTATCTCAACGTCCGAGGAGAGGTCTGACTGTTTTTACAGGTCCTCCCTCTCAGCAGGACCCTATGCTCACCGAGGTGGCTTGGAGTAGACTGTCTTCCTCCAGAATTCTAGATGATCCCCTGTATAATAATCGCATTAGTGTAAACTCATGCACATGGTTACACATGCAGACCGTGCTGTAGGTGGGTGTACAGCAGACATGCTGCGGCTGCATTTTCATGACAACCAAGGCCTAGTCATTACTTATCAAGGGAGTTCTTTGAAGTCGAGCCTAGACACACAGACACAGACAGACAGACACACACAGAGCCAAGCTCCTGCCAGAGTAGGATCTCCCAGGACACTGCAGGGATACCTGGGCTATGACTGGACTCTCCTCAACCCCATGGACAAGAAGGTGGCTTTGCTGACCCTGAGTTTGACTCACAAATCTGGAGGGGCTGGTGTTTGTAAAGACTGCCTTAAATGGAAGTGCACAGGGCCCTGGCACATTCTTCTGGAACAGTTATGAGTTTCAGGGGATTGTGGTATAGCAAGAATTCAACTTCCCTCTCAATTCTGGTGCCACTGAGGCTGGTGAGGGGCCACAGAAGAGATGAAAAGATGCACTAAAATGTGCTGACTTCCTCTGGCTCAGGAAGCCACGTGGAGGTGTCCAGGCTTGGCTAAAGGCCCCAGAAACCCAGGAGAGGTAATGTGTGTGTGTGTATGTGTCCCCACCCCATCCACAATGTCCCTGTGCTCACTGCCTGCCTTGTCTCAGCCCAATTTCCTCCATCTGTGAACTGTGAAGGGCCTCCTGGGGACAGCCGCAGCGCTTGCTATTGTTACGTTGCTAAGTTGTGTCCGACTCTTTGTGACCCCACTGACTGTAGCCTGCTAGGCTCCTCTGTCCACGGGATTTCTCAAGCAAATACTGGAGTGGGCTACCATTTCCTTCTCCGGGGCATCTTCCTGACCCAGGGATCAAACCCACGTCTCCTGCATTGGCAGGTGAATTCTTTACCACTGAGCTACCAGGGAAGCCCAAGGACTAAAGTACTGTGTATTATTTCAGTAATTCTGAAATACTATGATTCAACGAACTGTCTGTGAGGTTATGATGGTGGTGGTGATTTAGTTGCTAAGTCATGTCCAACTCTTGTGACCCCGTGGACTGTAGCCTGCCAGGCTTCTCTGCCCATGGATTCTCCAGGCAAGAATACTGGAGTGGGCTGCCATTTCCTTCTCGACTGTGAGGTTATACGGACCATTAAAAAATTTCAAACAAAAAACCCAAACAAGGTACCCCAAATGTTGGCAGTGATTTCTTTGGATGGTAAGATTATTGCTATTTGGTTGTTCTGAAAACGCTGTTTAAAGGGCATTCTCTGTAAGATGAGATAAATAATGAAACTCCAGGTGTGAGGTGAACATCAGAAGCCCCAGAGGACAGCATTAAGGGTCAAAGTCCACACCCTGAGCCACTCTTTCTCTGTAGGATCTGAACGATCGGGGAATGCCCAGCCAGAGAACCTGAGGAGGTGGGGAAGAAGAGGGCCCTTCACTTGGCTAGCTCAGGGCAGTGTGTGTGTGGGGGGGAGGCACACCCCAAGGCCCTGGGCAACTTTCCCTCCTCTCTCCTTTGGGAGATGGTAAAGTTCTAGGGTAGACAGTTAATGGAAGCATAGAGTGTGGTGGCAGGGGAGAGGAATTTGTGCAAGCAAGGAGACGCACCCTGAGAGTGTGTGCTAGGCTTGGGGGTGGAAGAGTTTGGGGAAAAGCCCCAAATTCCCTGAATATGATTTAAAGCAGCTTCTCCAAGTTCATTCACCATTTGGAAAAGGCCTTCAGGCCTTGGAGGAAGCTGTCCCAGGAGGAACTATGGATCCCTTAGCTGAGACGTCCTCAGACTCTCTTCCACAACACCAGGTGTGAAGGAAGGAAGGAAGGGGATAGGGGAGGCGTCAGGAAGAAGCCCTGTGGGAGCTTCCTAGGCCAACAATGACCTGGCACCTGGTCAGCTCAGGACCTGGCAAGACCAAAAGGCTGTGTCCAGGTGACATGGGCACAGCAGCCTTGAGGTCTCTCTATATGACCCATGTACTCTCTGGACGGCGGAGAGACAGAGAAGACCCTCAAGAGGACCCCCTCCCCTGCCACACACTTTCCAGGCTCAACCACAGGATGTCAGGGCCAGGCCCTACGTCACCAGGAACGCAGACTCCCGGCAATGCATGCAAGGTGGTCCTGGGAATTCTCACCACCCGCGTGACCACAGCTGGAGGAACTGGGTTATCCTTTGTATCCTTACAGTTACCACAGCTCCTGGGGCACGGTTGGTGCTTGGGATGTGTCAGCCTAAGTTTCACTGGCTGAGCCCAAAGCTGTGGTAGCAGGAGGGGGGCAGCCTAAGACATGTGGAGTCTGTCTGTCCTCCTGGGGTGGCCAGGAGCTCCAGGCCTTAACTCACACTGGAAGGCCACACCCACTCCCACAGCTCCCGTGGGTCTCTGGGGAGGGATGGACAAGCAGCGAAAGCTCGGGGCCACTAAATGGCCAGACCAGTGCCCCCCTGACTGAGCGATCAGTGGGAGAGCTGAGCCCTGTAAGCCGCTCTGGTCACCCAGTGCTGTGGGCAGTCTTACTGGGTAACATCCCCCAACCACCTGCAGTCAGCATCCGTGGCTCTGCCTGCCCAGCATCTCTTGCCCTTGCCTCTGGTCAGGGCAGCCTGGCTTTCCCAGGCTGGGACCACTCCCAGCCCCAGGTCTGCGGGCAGCCAGCCTAGTCTCACCCTGCCCCACCCAGTTCCTGACACAGGGACTGGGGAGGACAGGCACCTCTACTTGATCTGGCCTCAAGGGAATCTAACATGGACTTCCAACGTCTGAGAAAGAGAGGCCACCTCTTTCATCACTACCACCAAGAAAGAGTGAAGGTTCACTGTGGCCCAATCCAGGTATTTCAAGAGAACCAGAAATATGGATTTTCACACGAAATCTTCTTAGTTTAAACATTAGCATCCAGTCCATTACTAAAAACAAAACAAAACCACTTCGAGGGCCAGACCAATCAAGTCAGTGAGCCAGATGTGACCCACAGGCCACCAGGTGTGTGACCTTAGCTCTGTAACGACTGTCTTCAGCATGGCTATTCAGGCTCCTCCCAATGTGGCTGCAGTTGGCCTTCCCAGCTGCCTGTTTGCTCACTCCTTGCTCAGCCCTTCACCCTGGCCAACCACACACATGGACCCCTCCCTGTTCTCCAAAGACAGTGTGTCCACGGCCCAGAGGATGCCGCACACCCACATATTTCCTGCTACTCCTCCTCCGGCCCACTCTGCACCAGGCATGCAGGCCCTGGTGTTCTCTGAGCAAATGTGTGAGACCCTGACCTCAGCGTCTTTGTAAAAGATGTCTGCTCTGCCAGAATCCACTTCCAAAGAGCTGCACTGCTCATTCTTTACTCTTTCCAGGTCTCTGCTCAGATGGTTTAGCTTTTCAGCGAGGCCGTTCCTACCCAACCCTTTAAAAAAAGGAAACCCTCCCTGCCCTAGGCCCGGCACTCCCACCTGCTCTTCCTGATTTCTTTTTTCCCAGGACACTTATTATCTGAAATAGGGAACAGTGACCTGCGGCCCACAAGTCAAACCCGCCGCCTGGAATTTTGCAAATGAAGTTTTGCTGGCACATGGCCGTGCCCATTCATTTAGATTCTATGGTTACCCTTGAGCTGCCAGACAGGTGAGCATTTGCAACAGAGACCGATGTCCTACAAAGTCTCAAACAGGTACCATCTTGTCCTTTAGAGAACAAGTTTGTGGATGCCCAATCTAAAATAGCACTCAGGCTCCACAAAGGCAGGGACTCTGTCAGTTCTGTTCACTGCCGCATCCTCAGCCCCGAGTCACAGCCATGGCATTGAAGGCACTCTGGATACATGTCTGCTGAAGAAATGGGCAAGCCAATCAAACACGGGAGAGCAGCTCACGTCTTTTTGTCTGTGTGCTCTTGGCCCTGCCTTCTTCTCTGTGCATTCTTCACGACTCCACTCATAGGGCCCCTCTAACATGATGCATTCCTTGTCCCGTCTACTCCCCTCCCTGCTCCCCTTGGGACAAGGAGCTCATCTTTGTGCCAGAATCATGTATGCCTGGCACACTGCAGGGATGAATGGATGGATCCATGAATAAGGGAGGGCCATCAACTTCCTGAGACTCAGAGAAAAACCCGGTGTTTGGGGTCATATATCCCAGTTCCTAAAGGTATTGAAGAGAGACAGGGGGCTCAGAGGATTAATGGAGTCACAGCTGCAAAGTGCTCTAAACCCCTGAGAGCTCTAGAAAGAATCAGGAAACCCCCTTACTGACTCCCTGCTGGTCCCTAAGACATTCCCAGCTACCCCGTGGCCCCAAGCACCCCCACCAGTTGCCCTGCAGCAATCCCCTACCGATCCATACCTCATACTCTAGGGCGAGGTCTGTGTGGTCATCGATATCCACTTTGGCCATCACCACCTTTCCATGCTGCTTGGCCACCACCTTCTCTAACCTGGGCCCCAGGATCTTGCAGGGACCACACCACCTTGGAAGGGGAGAAAGAAGCATCCCATCACAGAAGTACTCGCCCAACGAACTACAGTCCTCTAGGACCTTCCCCCGTCCTGCGTCTTTCTGCTGGACTCTCGCCCCTCGTCACCTCTCCTTACAGTGTGTGACTATTAACCTGCAATGCTGACATGCCGGTTAATTACAGGAGACTCTGCAAGTAGGGAATTTTCACAGGTCCTGGATTCCTAATAACATGGGCCTCATCCTAAGACTCTTAGAAAGGTTATTTCAGTAATTTCACTCTACCTAAAAGAAATAAACTGTTGTATAGAGGAAAATGGGATTTGAAGTTAAAAGGTTTGGGTTCAAAGACAGGCTTCCTCACCAATCAGCTGATTATTCTGAAGCCTCAGTTTCCTAATGTGAAAGAGACTGTGTCTGTCAAAGCTCTGATGAGAAATTAACTAAGACAATGTGGATAAATGTGCTTTGTAAGCTTCGGAGTTACTTCAAACACCTCACAGCCTCAGAGCTAAGGTAACAGAAACCAGTGGCTAGGGAGTTTCATGACATGCCAGTCATAGCGCCAGGACCTCCTCAGCTTTCCTACTCAGAACTCTTAACCCTACAAAGGAAAAAAAAAATATCTTCCTAAGAAACTGAGGCCCATACAAGTTATGAGAATTGTGCAAGGTCTGCGACTGCATCCAAGACTGTGTTCCAAGTGTCTTCTTTGAGGCCCTGGTTACTCTGTGATTCCTGAGGCCCTGGGTCAACTGCCATGACTGCACTGGACATAGATATTCCCTCCCAAGTGGTAAGCCTAGGCTGTTATCCCTAAATATGTGGCACTAAGGACAGTGGCTGGCACTTAATGAACAAACTCACCCCCTGCTTTCTTGGTGGGGAAGAAGAAGAGGCATCAGCCCACTCTTCATCCATTTTGGAAGCTCTCTCTGCTGTGCTCACGAGACCAGGACGGCAGGATAGCTCTGCCTTCCATGAATCCTTGTTGGTGACTCCCATTTTATTCTCAGCCTTTAAAACCCTTCACATTCAGAGATTCCAACAAATGAACTCACAACACCTAAAAACCCAGTCTGCAAGACTTTATGGCCTACCACAAGTGAAGACAGGAAGGAACAAGGCCACCACATGGCCTGCCCAAGGTAACATGGTGAATCAGAGAAAGAATAGGAAAGAAAGCAAAAGAATCTGTCAGTGGTTTGTCCAGAAAGCCTTTGAACTTTTAACTCAGGCTACACTGGTTCCTTTCAGGCTGCCCCATTCTGAGGGGTTTGTTCAGTAGTTTTGGAGTCAGGCATTGAGCCATGTCTCAAAGGTCCAGAAATGAAGAAGGCCAGGCCAACAACCAGAAGACCATAAGCACTTAAATACCCCTAAAACAAACTCATACAGCATTGGAAAGAAACTCTCTGCTCATGGCCTGCGAGTGTGGGCACCACTGCAATGGTACTGAAAACTTTTTGCCAGCCCTTTCCAGTTTGGGTGGCAAGATGTTAAAATAAAATAATTCTCTGCAGGGTTCTGTATACGTTTGGCATATACCAAAGGTCAGATGACGCTAGAGGCATGTTTTTCCTGATTTGGTTCAAGGTGAAAATGACCTGAGCCTCTCAGGCAGTGAGATACAGAATACAAGTGTTTCCAAGCACTGATCATAGTGAGTTGTGTTGTTTTTTTTAAGTTATTTTTAATTGAAAGATAATTGTTTAACAATATTGCATTGATTTGTGTCATACATCAACATGAATCAGCCATAGATATACAGAGTGAGTTTTGAAGACTGTTTACTAGTCTGTCTCCTCTAAACTACATGTAATCTTCGAGAGAAGGGATTGGGTCTCCTCAACATTTGTAATGAGTCTACATATGTTGTTGTTGTTCATTCACTTAGTTGTATCTGACTCTTTGTGACCCCGAGTCCATGTATGAGAAGTATCAAATGGAGTACTGAGACACAGAAGCCTCTCAATAAACAAATACCTGAATAAGTGATACCCCAGTCTTCCGCGAACCCCCAGGACTCACTGTGCATGGAAATCCACAACCACTGGTGTCTCACTATTGACAACTCGGTCTTGAAAGTCAGGTCCATCCTGGATGTTAAAGGTTGTTGAACAGACTCTGGTGGTGTATATAGACCGGGCTTGGCTGGGTGTTCCTGCCAGGTAACTAGGACTGTACTGTGGGGTCTGCAGGGCCCTGGAGGCAAGGGGTGCCCACCGACTCTGAGAGGGCTTCCCGGAGATTATGGAGGTCAGGAACCTCCTCAGAAGAAGTCGCTGAGCCATCTGTGAGGGGACAAGGCAGGGACAGAGGGGGCAGTCAACACATCAGGAAATAATAACAATAAAAAGGCATGTGGGCGTATGGGTGGGGGTGCGGTTCAAGATGCAGGACCAGAAGTAAAACGCCGGAAAATAATACATAACATTTCTGGAGTAGAGGTGAGTAAAAAATCAAAGGGAAGGAATCAATAACTAGCACAGGTTTTAAAAAAAAAAACAGTAGGAGAAAACTGGGTCAACAACCAACGAATCAGGATATTATGGACTTACAATAGAAGAGGAGGAACCAATATTTACAGAGCATCCGCCAACAGTCAGGTATCTTACATACATTATAGTCTTCCTAGACCAACCTTGAAAAGGTTTCGATAATGCTATCACTCAAAAGGATTCCGAGGCTCAGGTAAATTGTGACATGACCAAAGTACATTATTAAATGAGAGCCAACAATGGAACCCAAGGCGGTCTAAGAAATTCTTATTCTATCGATTACTCTTCTTAAAAGTGTTTTAATGGAAAATTAAAGACAAAGAGAGGGTTGTCAAAGGATCAGGAAAGAGGAACCACAACAATTCAGGGAGCAACGAAGAGGTGTGGGGGCAGGATTGTGGGGGAACTAAAAAGGAGGGACGTGTGTGTAGAAGGAACTGGGGAACTGGGACTGGACGCCAGGAGGGACCCCGGCTCCTCGGAAGGCAGGTTCCCCCCTCCAGGGTCTCCGCCCGCTGGGCCGCTGGGCCGCACAGGAAAACGCCCGCAGTGTGCCTCAGCCGCAACACCGCCTCAGCCGCAACACCACCTCGAGCCACCCCAAGGGCCTCCTACCTCCCTGAAGCGAGAGCGGAAGGATGCACAGCGGATCCCTACGCACCGGTCAAGGGCACTTCTGTTGTCACTTCCTGAGGGGGAGGGCCTTTACCGTCACTTCCGGGGACAGGCAACCTAGAGCAAGTCTCTCCGCAACGCGAGGGAAGACGGGGGCGGAGCCTCAGTTGAAAACCGGAAGAAAAGGGCTCCTGGAGGAAGAAACCGGAAGGGGGGCAGTTCTTTAGGGGAGAGACCGGAAGGGGCGGGTCTTCAGAGGAGAAACCGGAAGAGGTAGGCCGGCCGGAGGGGAGGAGCCGGAAGAGGAAGGGAAGGAGGAGACAGCGTTCGCAAGGTACTGGCTGGAGAGAAGGGCGGGAGGTGTGGTTCCGGAGTTAGCAAACTTACATTATCCGCCGGCCGTTCAACATCGACCACCCCTTTGTCTCTTTGTCTCGGTGCTTCTTGGGAGCCAAAGAGGGCGCTCTGTGGCCCTTGTCTGTCACAAGCGACTGTATAACCTCAGGGTTTGGTGCAAGTCACCCAGCCCCTGGGGGCTTCAGTTTCCCAATATGTGACATGAAAGGCTGGACTTACTCTCCACCTAGGACCCTCAAGCTCGTCTCTTTGGGATGCTGGGGAACTGGGCCCAGACTAGATGCCAGATGGCGATGTTACTTGGAGGGCTTGTCTTTGAGGCCCCACGTAAAGTGTGATGACCTGTGAACCTGCTTGGGCCTGGGCCTTGCTTGCACATCGATTGTCACTGTCATGGACAACAGGGGTTTTGGCACGTGTGTCCCAGGCTGGTGTCATAGTCGCTCCTTGTCTCTCTTGCACCCTGTACCTTACCTTATGACCTGTTCTGTGACTACATCAGTGCCTTTTCCTTCCTCATTGCCTTTGCTTAATTTGATTTTTTTTTTTTCCCTCTGTCCACTGGGTAGAATACCTACTCATCACCTCTTCTTTGAGCAGCATTTCTTGCCTCCTCCTCCCTGGTGCTTTGTCCAGAACTTTAACATGTTGCACAGTGTCTGTCTTCCATGAGATCATGTGCTTCCTGAGAGTAGGGATTTGTAGGGATTTCCATAGGCCCAGCACCAACCTGATACAGTGCCTGACTCACAGAGAAGGTGCCATAGATGCTTATTGAACTGTGTATCTTTTGATATCCCAGGGAATGGTTCACAGTCTGAGTGGTTATGAGTTGCCCAAGGTCGTGAAGCAGGTAAATTGGTGGGTCCATCTAAAAAGCAGGTAAAATTGGCGGGTCCATTTAAATTTGCAGAGCCCCATCTCTCGCGCCTCCATTTCGATCTATGCTCCAGTGAGTGGGAATCATAATTACATAGTTTGCTTAACTCTCTCTTCTATACTTGTGCTGTGTAGTTACTACTGCCAGTGACTGGAGGCTTTTCCCTCTACTGTCCATCTGAGGAAACGCTGCCAGCTACCAGATTAGACACCATCTCTGGAGACACACTCCTGATCCTCTTTGAGTGGGGTTAAATTGCCTCCACTGAGCTTCCCCAGCCCCTGTGCATCTATCAGTCACCGCACTCAGTGCTCGAGATTGTTACTGTTTATTCCTCACTCACTGTGCCGTCAGCTCCTGGTGGTCTCCGTCTCTCCATTGCTCACTTTGGAATACAGCTGTGTATTGTGCATGTGTGCTCAGTCGTGTCTGCCTTTTGCGACCCCATGGGCTAGAACCCGCCAGTCATCTCCATCTATGGAATTTTCCCTGCAAGAATACTGGAGTGGGTTGCCATTACATCCTCTAGGGGATCTTCCTGACCCAGGGACTGAACCTGCCTTTCCTACCTTGGCAGGTGGATTCTTTACCACTGAGCCATTTGGGAATCCCTGGAAGGCAACTCTGTGCTCACCACTATACCACCAACATGCTGACTTTGGGGCTTGGATCATCATAGTAGGTGCTCAGTGAATATGTGTTCCATGAACAAAGAGCAGGGACCCAAATCATACCTTTTTTTTTTTTTTTAGTTCTACCAGTTTATTGCTACCAACCCATCTCCCTCCACCCTCGTGCACACATGCTCAGTCATGTAATCCCATGGACTTCAGCCCGCCAGACTCCTCTGTCCGTGGATTTTTCCAGGCAAGAATACTGGAGTGGGTTGCCATTTCCTTCTCCACAAATAATACCTTTTTGACTCCAGATCCGATTTTCCCTACCACATTGCATGGGCTGGTCGTGCTCTTGCAAAGTCATTGCTGTGTTTACCTCCAGCTCATCTTGGCCATATCATGCTGTTATTTGTTCTCTGTCCAACTGGCAGGTTCACTGGCTCACTCCCAGGCAGGCAGGGCCACAGCCACAGCTGCACAGGGATCTTCCTCTGGGATGGGGTGATGACCTCCTTGGAACAGGCCCACTTTCCCTGGTCAGCCTTCCACTAAATAGAGTCTCTTGTCTGTTGTGGGCGGAAGACCAGGGGAGGGCATGGGCAGGCATGGTCTCCTCCACCTTGTCTGACCTCTTGTTTTTGCCTCTGCCTCCACCTAGGACTGGAGCCAACAATGGTGATCTATAGTGGGACCCCAGGCCCCCTGCCTCTCCTGAGGTCAGCGTCTGTTGGTGCAGCTGTTGCTGTTAATGCCAGATGCCATCTGGCAGGGGCACTCCCATCCTGACTGTTTTCATTTCTGTTTTTCTGTATCTCCAGTGCTTTATCTTCCAGGGCCTCTTTGTTCAGTGGCTAAGTCATGGCCGACTCTTTGTGACGCCGTGGACTGCAGCTCATCAGGCTTCCCTGTCCTTCTAATTAACCCTGTTTAGCATTTCCACAGCATTTTCTAGAAGGCCAATTTCCCTGGTTAATTCACATCCTGAATTCCAAAGGAGGACCAGTCCTGTTTATCCTCACTCCATAGTCACTGCACCTCCGTTGACCTCAGGCTTCTCTGCTGAGAAATGGGAAGAATGATGCCTTCCTCATAGAGGGCTGTGAGGTTGCAAGAAGGATGGAGCCAAGGGCCTGGCATGTTGTTAGTGCCTGATGAGTGAAGGTGTCTTCTTCCACCTGCAGGGTGAGACCCTAGGAGAGGGTTGCACGCACAGTGGGCTACAGAGGGGTTTCTCAGCTCTATGGTGGTTCACCTGCTCAGCCAGAGCTGACCTGGCCCGGCCCTGGCTCAGATGTGAGGGAAAGAGAAGGAAGCTAGGGCTGGCAGTCTGAGCTAGAGTAAAGCTTCTGCCCTCTTATTTATGTATTGCAGTGTTTTTCAACCTGTGGTATGTGAGCCACCCGTGGGTTTGAGAATTCAATTTAGTGGGTTGTGAAAGTGAAAGTCACACAGTCGTGTCCAACTCTTTGCCACCCCATGGGCTATACAGTCCACAGAATTCTCCAGGCCAGAATAGTGGAGTGGGTAGCTGTTCCCTCTCAAGGGGATCTTCCCAAACCAGGGATAGAACCCAGGTCTCCCACATTGCAGATGGATTCTTTACCATCTGAGCCACCAGGGAAGTGGGTTGTGATCAGCTTTAAAAAAACAATCATGGGACTTCCCTGAAAGTCCAATGGTTTAGACTCCTCACTTCCACTGCAGAGGGTGCAGGTTCAGCCCCTGGTCTCATAAGATCTCATATGCTGTGTGACACAGCCAAAAAAATAATAGAAGAAAATCAGACTTTTTCAGAGTACATTGCATATTTTAAGTATTATTTTGTGAAATATTTCTTGGTGTTATGTCAACATATCTGTGTGTCCTAAGTTGTGATAAAGAATGTATTTCTTACTGTGGATCATGTTCAAAGGATTTGAAAGCTACCGATCTATTGAAGAGTTACCAAACACCTGACACTGTTCTGAACACCCTTCATGTATTTTTTTTTTTTTGTCCTCTAAGGCATTTTATTTGTACGTATTACATGCCTAGAAAAAGAATCCAAGGATTTTCCCTCCTGTATGTTTTCGTCTTGCTTCTTCATGGTCCATGATGCCAGCTGAGGTTATCAGTACAGTGAAGCCAAACTGACGGGATGGGAGCAGGTTATTCTGCCATTTTTCTAGATCTTTGAGTTGCACATCAGATCTGGGGCTGATCACTCCACGCTTATTTAGCCTGCCTGTGAGGTTCACAACAATTTTCCCAGCCTTGTGATCATCAATGATTTCAAATTTGCCAATGTAACCATGCTTCATCATCACTGTTAGAAACCTGACGAT